CTGAAGTGAACCTGGATCACAGGACCCCAGGATCACATCATGAGCCGAAGGCAGACACTCAACCCGAGCCATCCAGGAACCCCTCATGACTGAATTTTAAATAAATGACTGAAAAGTTCAATAAAAAGCTCTCTCCTGTATCTTTTTTGTTCTAAATCCATTATTGATGGCCAAATCAAAGTCACCTTTCCCTTCTTAAAAGAGGAAGGATTCCTGGAGGTGCAAAAGATCAAGAGTTTTAAATCTGGCAAAAAACTGTCAACACCATGTTAATACAGCATAATATATGAGAAAATAACACTCAAGACAAAAACTGGAACTGCTCCTCGGCTTCCCAACCTTCAGGCTATATGACCTTGGAAAGCTTCATAAAGTATTCAAAGAGTTTAAAAAAGGCCCTCAAGAGACTGTTATGTCAAATGGAGATAATCTGTTTTAAAAGCCAGTTAGGGGGTACCTTGGGTGCCTCAGCCAGTTAAGAGCCTGCCTTTGGCTCAGGTCACGATCCCAGGGTCCTAGGATCAAGCCCTGGGTCAGGTCCCCTGCTTACTATCCTCCTTCTTGTGCACACCCATGTGTACTCTCTCTCTCAAATAAATAAAATCTTAAAATTTAAAAAAAAAAAGTTACATATATATATATATGTTACTGCTATATTAAGCAGTAAGCTGTTATTACTGCTATATGGTATGCAACTGGCAGAACAGCGGCTGATGACTTAACTCTAGAGAAAAGAATCAAATTAGATTAAAAACCTAAATACTCCTGGGGGCACTGGGGTGGCTGTCAGTGGTGTCTGGCTCTTGATTTCAGCTCAGGTCATGATCTAAGGGTCATGGGAATGAGTCCATCATCAGAGACTCTGCTTGGGGGTGTCCTGTTTGAGATTTTTCTCTTTCCCCCTCTCCCTCTGCTCCCTCCCCAACATGAGCTCACATGTGCACAGTCTCTGTCTAAAGTAAATCTTAAAAAAAAAAAAACAAAAAAAAAAAAACTGAATATTCCTTAAAACAAAAAAGATACAAGCTACAGAAATACTGAAAAGAGTATCTTGGATGCCACACCAAAAAAAATTCAGCAAATTGGAATAAAATATTACTTCTTCATGGGTAAAGCCATTAAATACACTTTTTTATTGCCTGGGAGAAAGCATAACAGAAAAAAAAAAAAAACTATTCACAAAGCCCAAAACTTTCCTACATTAAAATATGCATAGACAAAAAACCCCCACAAAATTCACAGAAATGGCTAATAGCTGAAAAACTAAAAGATGCTCCCAAAAAATAAGATAAAAGATGCTCCGTATCTCTAGTGATCAAAGAAATAAACACTCAAAAGACATCAGCTTCCTCCTATCAGGTTTATGAAACTTTATAGATTAATAATAACCCAGCCAATCGATCTATGAGGATATAAACACCTTCACATGTTACCAAAAGTATGAAGTACTAAATCAAATACATTTTTGGAGGGTAAAATTGGTACATTTTGGCACCATCAGAAATTTAAATATACGTGGCTTCCAATTTCGCAAGTGAACCATTTAGATTCCACAGTATCAGAAAATGGTTTACCATAAGGACATTAACTCTCTTTTTTTGTTGTTGTTTTTTTTTGGCAATAGTAAATCTGCCAATAATTTCAATTTCTTCTAATTATGATACGTCTATTAAAAAATATTATGAGGTGGTTAGAACAAAATCAGGCAAATCTAAATCACAAATATATACCATATTCCCAATTTCTGTGATACACAGACACACACCACTGTGGTAAATGAGATTTAAGCTAGGGTTCACACACAAGCATACCTACACTGAGAAGGAAAGTTCACTTTTACTTAATATAATTCTGTATCATTTTTTTACATTAAACTTTATTTGAATTTAAAGAGGGAGGAAATTTAAAAGAGAACTACCCTAAGACCCAGTAATCACACCACTCTGTATTTCCTCAAAGAATACAAAAACACTAATTCAAAGGGATATATACGCACCCCTATTGTTTACTGCAGGATTATTTATAATAGCCAAACTATGGAAACAAGCCCAAGTGTGTACCGACTGAAGAATGGACAAAGAAGATGTGGTATACACAACACACACACACACACACACACACACACACACACACACGAGTATTATTCAGCCACAAAAAGAATGAAATCTTGCCATTTGCAATGACATGGATGGAGCTAGAGAGTGATGTTAAGCAAAATAAACTAGTCAGAGAAAGGTAAATGCCACATGATTTCACTCCTAGGTGAAATTTAAGGAATAAAACAAAGGAAAAACTAACTATAGAGAATAATCAGATGGTTATCATAGGGAAGTGGGGTGGGGGAATGGGTAAAAGAGATGAAGGGGATTTTGGATACACTTATCTTGATGAGCACTGAGTAATATACATGGACCTACTGAATCACTACATTGTACCCTAGAAACTAAGGTAACACTGTATGTTAACTACACCAGAAATAAAAATTTTTTTAATTTAAAAATTTCGAAAAAGGTGTAAGGAATTTTCATGAATTTTTTTGGTTCAAAATGTAAAGCACTAACAACCATAATTCCTAAACATTCCAAATCAAACAAACAGGTTCCTAAAACTAACGGTGGCCAAAAAAAAAGAAAAACTACAAAGGAAAAGCCAATAAATCAGTGGGTGGCAAGATCAATTTTAGACTTCTTTATGTGAAGTTTCAAATTTTTCAGAAGTGGAAAAAAGTGACATCATCTTACTTTCAGATAATGATTCTTACAATTTAAGGAGCAAATTTCACTAAGACTGAACCATAAAACACAATGTGAAATAAGATACTCTGCAATCATCAATTTTCAAATCATGCCATCTCTTACATCAATATTTTGTACACAGCTGGGGAGGCAGGCCAAAAAGATGGTCCAGAAACTGGACAGGAACTTCTTAGTCTAAGACACGCAAAAAGCACAACAAAACACCATCATGAGCATACCATCAAGTTTTTACTTTAATCTGAGCCTTTATACTATCCTTGAATATGTAAACAACAATTTAAAAAGTATGAAAAGGGATGCCTGGGTGGCTCCGCGGTTGAGCATCTGCCTTCCACCCAGGGCATGATCCTGGAGTCCCGGGATCAAGTCCCACATTGGGCTCCTTGCATGGAGCCTGCTTCTCCCTCTGCCTGTGTCTCTGCCTCTCTCTCTCTCTCATGAATAAATGAATAAAAACTTTAAAAAAATAAAATAAATAAAAAGTATGAAAAGCACTAGTCTCAGAATTGACCACCACACATTTCTAATTCTAGAACATTTCCAAAATGAAGTCATTTCTTGCTTGACCTGACTCATCACCAGAATTCCAAAAGAAAAAAACTTCTAAAATTAGAAATAAATTTTGAAAAATGAAAACAAATCATACCTTTTATCCATCCCTACAAAAGATGGGGATTAGAGAAGGATACAATATTGAGAAAACCATTTTCCCTGGAGTCTAAAAGTCCAAGTGAACAAGCACAGTAGCGATCAGCAGCATCACCACTACAGTTCATAGTACCCACTAGTAATGTATTTCACACTTAATTTTCAGCACTGGCCACTTTGTTTCCCTTTGTCTTCCCATACCATCCAAAGACACAAATACACACCACACCTAAGCTACAGTTACAGGTCTCCTTAGGAAAAAAGCTGTTAGTTCCCACTTTTGGTGGAATTGAACTACGAAAGAAAAAAGTGAAGGCTATATATACCGTTAGGGAGTGAGGCTCATGGTATCCTGATACAAGTTATAATATGTTTTGATTTAGCAAAAGCCAAAGAGTGGCCAGTGAACTTAGAGCAAGTAAATAAAATCTAGGCCAAATTTTAGAATGGAAAGTAGTTCAGGCTGCCAGGGATTAAAAATGCCACAATTCTTTGGTTCCTAGCATGTAACATCTACAATTAATGGGAATTCAAAATTTACCATAAAAATTACAAAATATAAAAAAGGCAGATAACTGAATTCATGTGCAAAGTGCTCAGAACATTACCTGGCACAGAGGATGTACTGGTAAGTGCTTATAAAAATATTTAGATATTTCATCTGTTATCGGTTCTCCTATACCTCCAGTTCCCTTAACACTACCCTACATAAGCTAAGTACAAATGAGATTTGAAGTATCTTCCAATATTATCAAATCAACTCCCTGTGAGAAATATATTTAGTCTAGTAGAGCACCTTGAAAGAATTACATCATCTCTTAAAAACTACAAATCAAATTTTCTATCTCCAACAAACTCACACCTCTAATAATTATTTCCACATTTCACATAACATCAGGAATATTTAACGTTAACATATTGAAAATAGACATCCATACTCTAGTAAGCATGAAAAAAATCAATATACAAAGAAGTGGCAGCATATGATCCCACTTTTATTTTTAAAAATAGGGAAGGGAGAGCCTGGGAATGACAAAAATGGAGAACAGTGTTTTTTCTTCCTCTCAGCAGTAATTCCTGTTTAGTCCTTTTTGTTTTTCTGTACTTTTTAAATTTTCTGGACATTCCTAAACTATTCAACAAGACAGTAGGGTAATTATAACATTTCACAGTTTTACATATCAACTATATTAATAACTGCCATAATAAAGGTATTAATATGCTATAGATATACTAAGAAAAAAACACAAAAAATTTTAAATTAGCAAAAAGGAAAACAGCAATTAACACTACAGAGCGCTCTGTGCCAGATTTTATACAAAACAATTCAGTACTATACTATCATTCTTAACTCCCAAATTATGTTCATTTTAGTGGCAAAGACACTTGACTAAGGCCACAAAGCTAAAAATGGTATAAAGCTGAGACACGAATCCTAGCTCTGACTCAAAAACTCAAGCCCTGCCATATTACACAGCCAATAACAGACTCGAGAAAAGGAATTAGATTTATTCTCTATTAGCTAAACAGATTTTCCTACAAGAATACTTATTTAAAAGGGGGGGGCACACAAGAAAATAAGCTTAAAATACATACCTCTACTTCATCTCCTTCACTAATTTCTTTTTTTATGTCAGGTGGTGGTGGTAATCTAACTTCATTAAATGGAACCTGGCGTTCTGGCTGCCAGCTGAAAGATGAGAAAAGGAATTCATAATTTTGAAATAACTATTGTAAAAGCCTCTATATGAAAGCTATACAGTCTATGCTTAGTGGTGCGTATTTTTTGAGTTAATCATTTAGCTTTCCCTAATTAAAAGCTTCATTCGTAGTATATATTTTTCCAAGTCATTAATTTGTTGAGGTAAAACGTTTTGCATGACTCTTGATGAAGTTTATAAATTAACATCAACCATAATTATGTATTACCATCCAAATTACTCATCCTAAGGAAATGGTACATTTTTCTAAAAATGAAATAGGCTAAGTACATAATGTCACATCTACATTATCAATAAAGAATTGTGCAACCAACTTATTTCAAACCATTTTACAATCTTATGACCTATCAAAGAAACAGAATTTCAGAGCTTATAAAATGTTAACTGCGTTCTTTGTGTATATGTCCACAGAAATGCAGAAAATCAGTTATTTTGCATAACTGAACTACAATATTTAATTTTCTTACAAAGAATTTACTTTTCTGCAATGGATACACATATTAATATTAAAACTTGGGAAAAGCTGACTTTCATGTTTGAAGCAATTATGACCATATTAAAACAAATTTGGCTGTTGCTTAACCTTTTTTGTGTCATATTGTATAAACTGGATTGATAAAGTTAAAAATTCTTCTCTACTCTAAGTTCTAATAGGTCATTCATATGCCTGGGAGTTATATAGCACATAAAAATGCACATAAATTCCTATAGCTTCCAACTGCAAATGCTGGGCAAAACATCAGGAGACAAGATTCGTGGGTGCTTTCGTTTCACCATTACTATCTAAATGGCAGTTGCTCAAAGACAGGAATCATCCCAACACTTGTTTCTACATGAAACAGCTGCTGGGCAGTTATCTTTTCAGGTCGTTCCAGAAGCAGCTTAAAAGTGAAAGCTGAAGACTTCTTTTCTGACCTTCAATTATACAGTGCTCCTTTATAACTCTTCCAAACCAAACCCAATATACGTACGGTCTTTCACATTTTTAAAACAAGACCTAGACCCTACAACAACTGTAAAACTCATACTATTCCTAATATCAAGTTTAAATTAAAGGCGGCCCCAATACATATTCTGACTACTAGCAGCCATTTGGAAGACCTATATCATTTCATCATTCTGGCATTTTAAGAATTAAGCATAGTATAATCCCATTTGTGCCATCTACTTCTGCAAAAAAAAAAAAAACTAATTCATGTTTACACATGTTTTGGCAAAAGGAAGGAAGCAAAGAAAGAAGATGAAAAAAGTGACAGTATATTGTGCGGAGAAAAACAGGTGAAAAGTTATCAAAACAAGGACTACCTGAAATGAAGAGATGATCTAACAACCAAAGACCTCTACCCAAAAGCAAAATCATTTTCCACTGGCAATAGGAACACCCAAAAGCAAACATGAATTTACACAATCAATCTTTAAAATTAAGATCTCTATCGATAAAAAATGACATACTTGTTCTCAAAAACAACTGTGAGGGAGTCTTCATGAACATCTTTGATAAATCCCTGCAAAAAAAAAAACAAAAACATTATCAAAAGCATGTCAATATCCAATTAAACATTACATCAGGGGTGCCTCGCTGGCTTGATCAGTAGGGCATACAACTTCTGATCCCAGGGTTGTGAGTCCAAGCCCCACTTTGGGTGTAGACTGCACATCAAAGAATTACATTAACTCTAAAAGCCTGTAATCAGACATACAAATATGGAATACCAAAAAGAACAAAAAGATTGGAATTAGGCATACATGAGTTTGATTTCCATCTCCATCATTTATCAGCTATCCAACCTCAGAATTTACTTAGTCTCTCTCAATCTGTTTTTACATATGTAGTGTCACCTAATTCGGGATTAGAAAAAAAATGATGTGGGGATGGATCCCTGGGTGGCTCAGTGGTTTAGCACCTGCCTTTGGCCCAGGGCGCGATCCTGGAGTCCCAGGATCGAGTCCCGCGTCAACCTCCAGGAATGGAGCCTGCTTCTCCCTCCTCCTGGGTCTCTGCCTCTATCATGAATAAATAAATAAATATTAAAAAAAAAAAAAAGAAAATTATGTACAGCCCTAAAACACCATAGGCATTAGTTGATATTCAAACTGAGCAAGGTTGTCTTTAAGTGTTACTTAAAGAATAACTCTGTGAATACTTAAAGAATACTCTGTGAATAAGAGTTCAGGCTCTTAAAATCAGGCTGCCAGGGTTCAAATCCCAAGCTCTAGCACTTACACATTCTTGGACACAGTTTTAACCTAATGATTCATTACAGCATCATTCCTCATGGAATTACAAGAATTAAGAAATGTCATGTTCACCATAGTACTTGGTGAATTTACAAATATCCTAAGTATTATACTGCACCATTAGTAAAAAGCATAACTACGTTTTGAATACTAATGTTCTGTTAATTTAATCTTATTTTTCCTACCAATTTCCCTCCCTCCTTCACTTAAAAATTTAAAAAACTAAACTATAGTAAGTATATTCTCTCAAAATCATTTTGGAATAAAGATTCACAATAAAAATCAGTGGTCATTTTCTAGTCTTAAAATTAATTTTGAAACTAGTTATTTTTGAGGTGCCTAGGTGGCTCAGTTAGTTGGGCATCTCTGCCTTTGGCTCAAGTCATGGTCTCAGGGTCCTGAGCTTCGACCCCTCATCAGCCTCCCTGCTCGGCGGGAGGTCTGCTTCTCCTCCCTCTGCTGTTCCCGCTGCTTTGTTCTCTTTCTCTTGCTGTGTCAAATGAATGAATAAAATCTTTTTTAAAAGTGAAATTAGTATTTTTTAATCTATCTTCCATTGATTGATACAGCTGAAAGAAATCTTAAGATCGGTCATTCAAGAAAGAGCAAAGGAGGGATCCCTGGGTGGCGCAGCGGTTTGGCGCCTGCCTTTGGCCCAGGGTGCGATCCTGGAGACCCAGGATCGAATCCCACATTGGGCTCCCGGTGCATGGAGCCTGCTTCTCCCTCTGCCTATGTCTCTGCCTCTCTCTCTCTCTCTCTCTCTCTCTCTCTATCATAAATAAAAAAAAAAGAAAGAGCAAAGGACTTCAGTGTAAAATAAATGTTCAAACACTTGCTCAGCCACTCCACTTGGCAGTTCTATGATTACAATTGACATTAAGCAACACTTTATATTACTGTGGAGAAGGACTGCAAAGTTCTCAACCTTAGTCAAATGCTTACACACACACTCTGAGACACAGAGTACTCACTAAATAATTTTCCAAAACATCTTTATCACACCACACTTCATAATATCCACTAAATACTAGCTAAATAAACACACTTGCAGTACCTGGTTAAAACAAGGCAGAAATGAACATTTCCAGTTTCCTTCATCTTCCTCCCCCAAAAGTCCACGGAGTAAATACACTAAAAACTTTAAAGCATAAAACCAAGAATAAAGAGGACAAAGAGAGGGATCCCTGGGTGGCGCAGCGGTTTAGCGCCTGCCTTTGGCCCAGGGCGCGATCCTGGAGACCCAGGATCGAATCCCACGTCGGGCTCCCGGTGCATGGAGCCTGCTTCTCCCTCTGCCTGTGTCTCTGCCTCTCTCTCTCTCTCTCTCTCTGTCTCTCTGTGACTATCGTAAATAAATTAAAAAAAAAAAAAAAAAAAGAGGACAAAGAGAAAAGAAAAAATTGCAACAAAATTCTGGAAATTTACAAAATAGATGGAAGAGTATCAGTAATTTAAAAACAAAGCTATCATTACTAATAATGAAATGCTTATTATATATCAGATATTATTCTAAGCAAATAGCAAACCAAGAACTAAAACAAACTGATAATGGAAAAACTGAAAAGCAAGCAGATTACTACCAAACCAGAAAATCCTAGGAAATGAAGACAGAAACTCTTGGAAAGGAGAGGGTAACAGATGTGACTAAATATAAAAATCATCTTTCTTAATAACGTAAGACTCACCAATCACAGAACATAGGTAACCAATATATTTAAATCAGTGCCCTACTCTCACGTTTGTTAGTCAATTGCATGATTTTGTATTGGTTCTGATCTCACACCCCAGCTTCAAATGTCTATTATCTGCTTTATTTGTGTGCTATAGGACATTTCAATGCAAATTTCCTCATATGAAGCATAAACTCTGAATATATTCCTTTCAAGAATGCTATACCAGCTCCTGCCATGTAATTCCAGGCCATTTTTTTTTTATTCCTTTCTTCCCTAAAGCTAAAAATTAAGAGCTGCCATTCCAGTTCTGATTATCTGATCCTGCTATAATAATGACAGTCTGGCCAGTTTCTTTATTTCTAGTAGGGTCAGCCTCATCACCTTCTGCAATCATTTTGGTCAGCACTTTCATAGTTAGGTTACCAGCAAATCTATCTCTATTAATACCCTTAACATTTGTAAGGAGTATTTCAGGAACAGAATTTCGTAGTTCGTGAATATGAAAGTAAAGCACACCTTTAGAGGTCAGTCCTTTTAAACTTTCACTGAAGTTTTCTACTTCTTCACAAACAACTTTCAGAATCTACAGTGTTTCACTGAAAAATCTTTGCCATTTCTGTTTAATTTATACAATGAGTTTCTTGAAGTCAGAGGTCCAAGCCGCTGGGAAATTCTACCCTTTATTACAATAAAAACCTATCTTTCTACCTGAAAATCAACACTTAATCAACTCTTCCCAATCCATCCCTTTACTTCCACCACCATCATCAGCTTTATTTGGGTGCACATTTTCCACAAACTTTAAGAAAAAAAATACAACCCTTGTAGACAACCTACACTAATTACTAACGTCCTCCAAACATAAAATTAAATAGATTGAGAATGAACAGTTAAGCAAACATGTTTTAATCCCCAAACCCTAGATTCTAGGGTTAAGTTGCTTTTCTAATGACCAGATCTCTATGAAATTGTGTCTATCTAATGCAGGACTCAGTCATCACTTCTCAGGGTTTTTCTGTATGCTCAAAGTCACTAGAATGACGATGCTAGGTCCCTAATACTTAAGACCCAAAATGGCAGGGTCAGGTCTAAATCTTTGAGCGAGGGGACACTAAGTAACAATGGTAACAGTGGTCTGCACAGGATAACGACAGTCTCCACAACTTCTGTCCCTTCTGTGTTCTAGTCCAGCCTTTGGGGACTTTGTGTCTCTTCCTAGTCATCATTCATCTGTCCCAGGACCTGTTATTTCTCAGAACAAAATCTTTTACATTTCCTTCTCTTCTTCCCAAATACACAAATATGAAGATTCCAAAGCATCGTTATAAAATGGTCCCCTTGTTTATAAATCAAACTCTTAAGTATCACCAGTAAGCAACAAAGCAGTATAACACATCAAAAATGTAATAAAAGTATCTTTAGAATGTTGTCCCCAACAAAGAAATAAATATTACATAGTAAAAACCCAGGAATGCCACAAACTATGTGTAAAATGCAGGTAAGGGACAGGGCAAAGAAAACAGCAAGAATCCCTGAGCTATAGAAGTATTATTTGAAGAACCAATTTTTTCAAAAGCAATATAGCCTTAAAAAGAAAGGGGCAGGGGAGAGACACGTGGGTGGCTCAACCGTTGAGCATATGCCTTAGGCTCAGGGCGTGATCTCGGAGTTCCCTGCATGGAACCTGCTTCTCCCTCTTCCCAGGTCTCTGCCCCTCTCTCCCTGTATCTCTCATGAATAAATAAAACCTTAAAAAAAAAAAAAAAAAAAACTTCAATAAGGTGGCAAGTTAACCAATAATCAGTTTGCTCTCTAGATAAAACAATAAGCAGGTGGAAAATAAAACACAAAAACTAATCTAACAATAGCAATGAAAAAAAATCTTAGGAACACCTTCAACACCTTCAATACAACAAAAATGTACGGGACCTGTGCACAGAAACCTTTGAAATTCAACAACTGAATAAAAATAAAATAGTCAGGAAAACGTAAATCATCACATCCTTAGATCTTGATGTAAAAATTTTATTTTTTTTTATGTAAAAATTTTAAATGCCTCTAAAGGAGACTCCACTAAAATACTAAAGAGTGCATGATTGTGTTGAGGGTAAAGAGGTTACTCTTAATAAAATTACATCAAAATCTATTTTTAAAACAAGTTAAAACACTCAAAAAGGAAACTTTTAAATGGGAGTAGAGAGTAAAGAAGATATGCTAACCTACGAATATTAAAGCTTATTTTAAAGCTACAACCATGGGGGGTGGGGGTGAATGGGTGACGGGCACGGTGGGGGACACTTGACGGGATGAGCACTGGGTGTTATTCTGTATGTTGGTAAATTGAACACCAATAAAAATTAATTTATAAAAAAAAATAAAATAAAATAAAAAAATAAAAAAAATAAAAATAAAGCTACAACCATCAAGACCAAAGAAATACATTTTAAGAGAACAAAACAGATTCCAAAAACAGGTCTAAGTCATTTAGGAAATTACGAATAGAGGGAAGAATGGATTGTTTTATATAGTATCGGGACATCTGAATAATTATTGGATAAAAGAGTCAAAAAAATTTTCGGTCAATAAAGATT